CAGAAAAGTTGAAAAAAATTATCTACCCCATAGATGATGTATGACAATGATTAAGGAACCCCTAGAAGATAAAACTTATATCAAAACTAATGATGGTCCAGATTGGTTCTTCTTTTTTTTTCCAGTATATTTCATGTCACGGGCTCAATACATTTTATGGGTGGGTATGTTTGGTTTTAGCACATTTTTGTGTTTGTTGGAAGGTTTCAATAACTTTTTTAAAGATAATCTATCATCTTAGATGAAACAGTTGAATGCAAACACGGTCATGTTGACAAATGATACCTTCCCCTGATTAGTTACTTTCCTTTTGTGAAATGTGATTCTGTCGTACATTAAGTTCGGTGCACTGTCACAAATTAAGTCCATTGCACTGTTACAGATTAAGTTATTTTTCCTACGTTTGTTTGTTTGCACTTTGAATTCTTACTCTAAATCTCGCTACTTTTTTGCATATTAGATCAGACTATCATCGTAACATCGTGATCAACTCTTGTTACTGCCATTAATCTAGGGGTTTTGAGGCATTGCATTTGAATCAAGGCTTTGGTATGTTACCTGAACTTCAATGAGTTCTTTTCCGGTGCTTTTCATTTCAGACAACGTGACTTGATGAATTCTTTATTTATTGTTCAGTTTGATCGCCTTATATTATTTGTTTGGTTTCTGCTTTGTTTCTTTTTATTGTTGTCTCTATGATCCTCTGATTGTCCAGAGTTTGGCATGTTTGTTTTTTTTTCTTTCTTAATTATGTTTGTGCGATTCTGTTAAGGTTGAAGATCTCTTGCTATCTCTGTGATCCTAGTTTACGCCAGTGTTCTTGATTCTTTTTCGAATGTTGTTAGGCATTTTATCTTTGTGATTCTGTTATTGGTTAGTTGGTGTTTTCATTAGGTTTTTTCGATAGTTAATTGTCTCATCCTCCCCAAAGTGCTTTAACATATGCTGTTCATAACTACGCTTTCCCAACGAGTCAAATTTTTTTTTTTTATAAAAAAAGAGCCGTGTTTATGAAAATGAGTGGCCTTTTAACAGCACATGAATGCATCTTAGATGTTCAGAAAAAATCATGGATATTTACATTCAAACTACAAGATGCATTAACTCATAAATAATTACGTTATCTATCTTCTTTATCGGCTATCACTTCAAAATTTGATCTACAACACTGTCGAAATGTTTTTTTATTGTGTTTTCTTTAATAATTGTCTAACTGTTGTGAGCTCTTGTACACTTAGCTTATTAATTTGAGTTTTAAACATTTATGACAGTGTTATTCTTTAACCTACAAGCTACACGATATTTCAAAAAAAAAACATGAATATTGATGCTATATTTAATTTCTAATTCAGGGTAAATAAAATGGTGAACGAGATTGATCGAAGAGAATAATAGATTCTAGGAGGAGTTTTGGTAAAAATTTTAAGGGAATTGGTTAAGGCTCGAAACGATGAACGAAATCGAGGGACATTAGTGAGGTATTTTAACACTACCTCGGGACCTGGTACAAAGAAAGCAGTTAAAATAGAATAAACAAGGATGGGTTTGCGTGTTTATGGTAAGGGTGCAAACCAAAACAAGTTGGTGGTCCATACTATGTATCGACCTGCAAATTGTAGTAATCCACCGAAAGAAAAAGTTTTGATGGATGAAAATGTTTTGTGACAATTTTTGGGGTTTTTCAGTGGGATCTACAAGTTTGGTCGCTGGAAGAAAGTTGGAGTTTTGTTGCTCTTGCTTGCCTCCACTGCAACGGCCTTTTGGGTTTTAAATGTCTAGAGTCAAGATGGGTCTTAGATAAAATAAGGGTAGTGTAAACTTTTTTGTTTGGTCATAAGGGCAATAATGTAAACAATGAACCCCTTAACCATTGTAAACATCAAGTGTTGTTAATACTCTTTTTTGCACCTTTTGGTACATTTCTATCTTGCTAATTAATGTTTTTTAGTGATCTTTTTGCCGTTCTAAAGATAAAAGTGTTGTTAATACTCTATTTTGCACCTTTTTGGTACACTTCTTTCTCACTTATGAATGTTTTTTGCTGGCAACAACCTCATCATACTAGGATTATGTTTGTCTGCTTATATTTTTATGGCATTTCTGCTGTTGTTGATGGGAAGCATTGACCTATGCTTATTTGCTGGTTATACACTTTTAAGGCGGTTGTTGTGTTGATGTTTTGGTTTTCTTTGTGAGCGGCCCATTCTTATGAACAAATATTTTGTTTGCTTATGTCGTCTCATACTGAACAAAGCCCATGTATGCAGAAAGATTGCTAACGGCTTTGTATTCCAATTGCACCTTTAGTTGGTTTATGTGAATATTATATTCTCTTTTTTAACTCTAAAAATTTTAGTTGGTTCCTCACTCCCTAAGAATTCTATTTGTGTGGATGTTTATGCTATGCGACTTCTTTGTTTTCGGCCATATTTGGCTTCTTAAAAATTATGGTGGTTAATGTGGTTTGTGGGTTGATTTTACAACTGAGGAAGAAGGGGTGGGTGGGGGATTTATATTGATATTCTCGGTTGGTATGTAACTATTAGAATATGGAAGATATGGATATCGTGCAAGAAATGCAAGAATTTAAAATAGAAAGGGTGAGTGCGGTTTGCAGAGCGTGGTTTAGGGATGGTGAAGTGTGCTTAGGCAGTGAGATTAATGGTAATGGTTTGTGGTCGTGTCGATGGGCGTGCAAAATGGCAACGGTCATCACCTCCTTCTTTTTGTGTAGTGTGCACAATGCTGGTAGACATAGGTTAGGAAGCCAAATAGAGTGGCACAGATGGAGTGAGGCATGATTGCAGCGACAACATTGTGCCTTGCAAGAATGGCCGGTAAGGTAGAGATCGCTAATAGCCTTCACGCTTCGGATGCACTTTTAAGTGATGTAAGGGTCCTCATGTTGTGTTATGTATTTTTAGATTACAAACTGAGAAAACTTTCTCCATGTTTTCTCTGGATTTCCCCCAGGCAGGAGCGGTATCTTCTGATGCCTTATCTCTCCCCCAAGTGGATGTGGATATTTCTTTAGCTAGAGTTTTCTCCTAATATGGCATATCATCTTCACTTGCCTTATTTGCCCCCCAAGCAAATGTGGTAGGTTCTCCAGGTTACCCCTAGGTAGAGGTAACATCTTCTCTGGTAATATTTGTCCACTATGCTGGAGTAGTTTCTTCTGCTGCCTTGGATATCCCCCAAGTAGATGCGCTAGGTTCTTTAGCTAGAGTTTTACCCCACGATGATGAAGAGATTCAATTGTGTGCCTCTTACTTTTTTTGTCTTTCCTTTAATCTATGAGTTTTTGTGCCATGATGAATTCTTTTTCATAATGCATATAAAAAACTTTGACTCTGGTGCTTCTATTGAAGTGAAAAAACCTCATATGTCGCCTTTACAGTTTGAGTAATAGTTGTTGGTTAGATTTACTTAGTTCTTGTACTAAGAATTTGTTTCTACATACTCCGTCTGTTTCCCTTCATACAAGTATATCGAAATTGCATCATGAAACTAATTAGAATTAGTCTACCTATGGATGAGCTAATGGCACATATCTACCTTTGATAAAAAAAAATGACAAGCTAAAAATTTAAAGAGTTTCTAGCACATATCTACAACGGTGATGTTTCACCTTGATCTCGCTCTCACTCAATGATGATGGGAGTATATCATCGTTACGTGAAATTTAGGTGTGCTTAAGATATTTTCGATACAATACCTCCTTAATGGCATTATTGTTACTAATCATATGACTTTATTTTACTTTATTTTTATTTTTATTTTGGAAAATGAATATTTTTTTGTTATTTTTTTTCCGAGTTAAGAAACGAATAATATAATAAGCATGATAAATATTGATTTTTATGATTGAAATGGAACTTGAGAATCTTATGGATCATGTGTGATGGACAAATATTAGTTTGAGACTTAGATTCCAGCCTAATGTATGTTATCCCAACCGATGGAATTTCATAATTGATTTCTAGATTTCCTTGAATATATTTAGTGAACATTTTTTTCCAACGTCTATGGGATCAAGCCTAGCAAATGCAAACTTTCATCTTTCGACTTTCTCATTGTTGTAATCTTTGATGATTTATTTAATCCTCTTAGCCTGTTCTTGGATGAACCAAAACTGTTTTGGCCTGTTGTTATTGTTTTGTGTTGTATGCTTTCTTATTGTTAGATTGGTTGTGATTCTAGATCATTCGTTCTTCTCGGTGCATCTCATTAGTCAACCAAGGAGAAAATTTGAACATTTTAAATCCTAGTCATCTCTGTTTCAGGTAATACATTGTTTTTTTCTAGCCTGAAAGCGTTTGATGCATATCCTTTATGATGCTTGACAACTGCTTTCTATGTTTGTTGTTGATTACATGTGCAAGGCACAATCTTTTATGCATATCCTTTATGTTGTTTTAAATAAACGGGTTAGACTGTTAACTGTGCGCTTTTCATCTAGCACAGTTTACTGATCTAAAGTGAATCGAGCCTAAATAATTTGTTTCTTTCTGTCAAATTTATGCATGCATGTCTTGCAAAACGAATGGCATAGAGTCGTGACTTGCCTTTTTTGTTCAATGTTTGTTCACTTTTTTTTCTCTCCAATTATATGTGTTTATAACAGTTAGAATTCTAACTGTTGTTCAATGATTGTCCCTTACAATCGTGAGCTATTATTGAAGTATTAAGCACATATAAATGTTGAATCATGTTATCAATCAACACTCATTAAATATCTTTTTAAGTACATAACTAAAGGTGTTGATCGAACTAGAGCTGTTTTTGAGGATGAGGAGTTTGATGAGATTGTAGCTTATCTAAACTGTAGATACTTATCCCCTTATGAAGCCCCTTGGAGATTATTACAGTTTCACATTCATTTTAGAGAACCATTAGTTGAGAGGTTGTCTATACATCTTCCATATGACCAAAATGTTGTTTTTAGAGAGACCGATGATCTTAACCATGTTGTTAACCATCCTAATCTTGAAAGCACAATGTTAACACAATGGTTTCAAACCAATGTCCAAGACCCTAATGCACGTGAGTTATCTTACGTTGAATTTCCTACCAAGTATGTATGGAAAAATGATGAGAAACAGTGGTCACGTAGAAAAAGAGGTAGATCTCTAGGTAGGGTTGCATATGTTCACCCTACTCCTGGTGAATTATATCACTTGAGGTTGCTGCTAAATTACCAAGAAGGCAGCTTTGGATTTGACCATTTGAGGATCGTCGATGGCATTCTTCAACCCACGTTCCGAGCTGCATGCACCTCTCTTGGTTTATTAGGTGATGATAGGGAATGGAATAATGCTACGTTAGAAGCTGTTGTCACTGCATCATCCTCTCAACTTAGGCAATTGTTTGTCACATTAGTTCTCTTTTGTGATGTCGCTGATCCATCAACTTTGTTTCAAAAGCATTGGAAGACGATGTGTGATGACATTTTGAAAAACATGATCAATGTTTTTGACCTGCAAGATGTCTCTAAATATCAAGATGAACTTAGAAATTCACTTTTGTACAAGTTAGAAAAATTGTTTGTTGCTGCAAGTAGTTCTTTGTCAAAACATCACCTACCACAACTAAACAATTTAATGATGGATAGACTTGCAAGTAAGAGTTTGAGGGAAGAGTTAGATTATGATGTTGACAAGCTAAAACATAAGCACTTGCTCTTGATCAACCAGTTAAATAGAGAGAAAAAATATGTTTATCAAAGTGTCATAGAAACAATTCACAACAACAGATCTGGCCTGTTTTTTGTGCATGGTCATGGTGGGATAGGCAAAATTTTTTTGTGGATCACCATGATAGCTAAAATTAGATTCCAAAATCAAATTGTTTTAGCGGTTGCTTCATCTGGAATTGCTTCCCTTTTGCTTCCTGGTGGAAGAATGGCTCACTCTAGATTTAAAATTCCTATCAACATCACAGATTGTTTGGTTTGTGAAATAAAAAAAGGGACACATCTTGCAAAACTAATTACTGAAGTTGTTCTTATTCTTTGGGACGAAGCCCCCATGAATCATAAACAATATTTTGAAACTCTAGATAGATCCCTTCGTGATGTTATTAAAAGGTCAAAACCAAGTTTTGACCATTTGACATTTTGGGGTAAGCCGATTCTTTTTGGAGGTGATTTCAAGCAAATTATTCCTGTTGTTCCAAATGGAAGTGTCGTTGACGTTGTTGAAGCTTCATTGACGAGTTCATATCTTTGGCCCTATTTGACCATATTCTTTTTGAAGCAAAACATGAGACTTTCAAAAACAGGTTTGGACAAAAGGGAAAGACAAGAACTTGCTAATTTTGGAAAGTGGATATTAGACATTGGCAACGGTACTATTGCCAGGTCTTTATCTTCAACTGATGAAGAAAGTTGTTGGGTTCAAATTCCCAAACAATTGCTTATCCGTTTTGAAGAAGATCCCATCAAAGTCATGGTTTCATCTGTGTATACCAATTCCAAAACAAATTTTCGAGATGTGCCATATTTGAAAGAAAAAGTTGTTGTCACACCGTGTAATGATATTGCCACTGAAATAAACGACTTTCTATTGGGTATCGTGCCTGGTGAAAGTTGTACCTATCTTAGTTTTGATTCGGTGTCTTCTTCAACAGAAAATTTAGAAAATTTAGATGTGCTTTATCCAATGAAATTTCTGAACCAACTTGATTTACCTGGTTTGCCACACCATAAGTTGGTTTTGAAAGTTGGAACCCCAATGATGTTGATCAAGAATTTAAACCAACGTGCTGGGTTGTGTAATGGAACACGGTTGGTTGTGATGCAATTAAACGATAGAATTATACAAGCAAAAATAATTACGGGAAGCAACATCGGTGAAAGAGTTTATATCTCTAGGATAATTACTGAATCATCTCAGAACAAATTTCCCTTTACCCTACGAAGGCAACAGTTCTCTCTAAAAATTTGTTATGCGATGACAATCAACAAAAGCTAAGGACAATCCTTGAAAATTGTTGGCTTGTATCTATCTCAGCCTATTTTTTCTCACGGGCAACTATATGTTGCGATGTCCATAGTCACCTCAAAAAAGGGTCTAAAAACTGTTATTGCTCATCATTCCGACATGCCTTATGGTTATACCAAAAAACATAGTTTATAAAGATGTTTTAAAACATTTACATGAAGGTATAAGCTTGTATTATTATTTTGTCCTTTTGTTTATTTTTCTAAACATGACTCCACCATCACTTTGATAAATCAGCTTATTAAGTTTTCAATTTAATTTGCTTCTCAATTTTTGTTTCTATCTAGATTGATGGAGGTGATGCCAATTCATTATCTAAGGCTATACCAACCAGCAAAAAGCTCTAAATCAGGGTTTGCAAGATGTGGATCACAAAAACCATCAGAGATGATCCTCAGCCTCAAAGTCTTGATTGTGTGTTTGTCGATAAATAGGTGATAATTTTGGACATTTTTCGTTATAGTAAGATGCTTACATTTTTATGTATCCAAGTGTGCATGCCATGTTCTTGGTAAAAAAAATTTTGTTCTTGCAAAAACAAATTTCATTGTATGTCATTGGCACTTTTGGTCTTTCTGCATTTCACTACAGAGATTATATTTTATTCTGGTTAAACAAGTTTTTTTTAAATATGCAAACGAAACTAAGTAGAAACCATCAATTCTTCTTTTTCTTAATTTGTTTTTTTTTCTTTTTTTTACCCATAAAAATATAATTAAAAGTTCATTTGCAAGGTTGCTTCAGTTGCTGTCATTTTAATTCATAAAGCATTCTTTACTATCATGGTGTATTTTATCTTACATGTTGTCTTTGTGGCCACAATTGTGATGTCCTCACTATTTTTTAGCTTATTAAACCACATGCATTATATGTTCGCTTGCTCATTTAATAATCTATCTTATTTTAATTTTCTCCTTCTAATAAGGGGATGCATTTCACGCAACTATCAACGCTCGAGACATCCAATTTTTTTGGGACCTTCTAAGAGTCAACGATGCATATGAGATCAGCTAATTTCGAGTTGTTTACAATAGGACATCAAGCAAAGTTGTCCCTCATCCTGCTGCGGTTGAATTAAATAGGAAAACCACAATCGTTCCCATTGACAAAACAAACCAGGAGATCCCAAAGCAGTGGTTCAATTTGATCGAAATTCATCAGCTTCATAAGAGAATCAACAAAGATGTTAAGCTTACAGGTAACAAATTTAGTTTTACGTGCTTTGCTAACATCTAAAATCATTATTATAATTTTTTTCAATGGCTTTGGTGTGCAATCATTTCCACCACTAAATATCATTCGCAGATATATTTGGTTGCTTAACGGCTGTGCAGCCGATTGAAGAGGTTGCTGTCCAAAACTAAAGAATTGCGAAGAAGAGGAATCTTAACCTGCAAAATATCAGGTCATTCATGTTTGCGTTAAGTTCAAATTAAGCTTTACACGTATGGCGCTATATTTATGACGTATAAAAAAGCATCACATTTTTTTAAACTTACAGGGGTGAAACACTTAGGATCACCTTATAAGGAGAAGCTGCAACGAGTTTTGATGACAGTAGAATGTAATCCCTTCTACCACCCATCTTCGTTGCTTTAACAAGCCTCGAAGTCAAACAATACCAAGGTTATACCTCAATATGCTTTATTTAGCTGCTATAGGAAACCCTGATGTTGGAAGCACCGAATCAACTGTTTATGTTATCAATTAGAACATTTCACAGCCCCTCCAATACAAACAAAAGTAAATTGACTACCCTCCTTTAATAACTTTGCCGTTTGTATTTCTTCAATTGATCTTTCTCAACCTAAACATGCACGACACAGGTTTGAGCATCTAGGACCACTTGTTTGAATCCTGTGCACCTCAGCTGAGATGTATGCAGACCGTGTTATCAGTCCTAATTTTGAGTCCAAAACGATGAGTTGCTTCTACTTGATCCTGTTTTACACAAGGTTAGTCTCTTATCACCAACCTGTTAACAAAAATCACATCTTTTTAACAATAAAATTTTAGTGGTGCTTCATCCTTGGCTATCTCTTGCTTTTTTCTTTATGCATTTATATTCCATGTTTACAAGGTGATGATTAAATGTATTTTATTATTTAAAAGCTGTGTGATTCCATAACAAAATGCAAGTTTTGCATGCGAAGCGACTATCGTTGGATTCGATTTGACTAGGGGTTGGTGGTATAAGTCGTGCCCGTCCTGCCATAAAGCTGTCAAGAAAACTTCCGGATGGGTTGAGTGCAATGAACGTGGTTTGTTAAACAAATTATCATGAACCATGGTAATCTCCTTTTGCACCTGTTTTACATCTAACTGTTATATTAAGTTGCTTAGTCATTTAAAGTCTTTTGGTTTATCTTTATACTTCATGACTCAATCTACAACCTCTTGAATTGACTCTTATTTGAGCACAAGTTATGTTATGGTTTTGCAATTAGTGTGCATCCCATCTAGAAAAAAGGAGAAATGTGAGATTTGTGAAACCGTTTTCGTTTGAGTAAACTTTGTTTTCATTTGTTGTGTTGTTTATAGGGACATTGGTTTTTTGTCTTAATTTGTTATTAACATGCTTTTGGCAATCTGTACTTTAAGAATGTTAATAGCAGTAATGATTGCCTAACATGAAAATATCCAACTCTCCCATAGGTTCAAAATCAATCTTATTATGGAAGACAACACGAATCAGCACAACTTCCTAATGTTAGGAAGGCACGCTGAAAAGATACTTTGTGTTTCTTGCCACACTTTGGTAATAGAGGACATATATGATGATCCCTTCATGGTGCCGCCGGCTCTGAACAAATTGGTGAGCGAGACAAAGAGATTTCAACTATATGTCGACAATCAAAACAATGACTTTTGGAAGACGGACTTCATCATTTATGGACTGCTTCAAGATCAGCTGCCCTCGAACCCAGCAATTGCCTCAATCGACCCGCAAATGCCTTCTACCACCGCAGGAAAACAAATTATGAGAGAAGTGACTCCCGCCCCAGTGACACCTTCCCAGCAGCCAGATTAACAACCCCAATCGGTTGCACCTACCAAGACTTCAAAGAGAGCATTGTTCGTTGATCAAGTAGATAAATCCGACAGGTTAAGTTTTCCTCTTAGTTATCGTCTTATGTGTAAATCATAATGAACATGCTTGCTTATCTTGGGTATGCATATATGTTATGCCACTTATCAAAAACTGTTAGCCAATCTTTTCGCACCGCTCTTTCACACTCTTTTCCATGCCTATCACGATTCTCTCTGACCTTATAAATTGTACCTTCATTCACAGCAAAAAAAACCCTGAACGGGCAAACAGAGACAACTAATTCTGCTAGAATTGCTAGAGAATTCCACAAACTGGTTGTCCCTAAGATTGAGTCTGCCGACAAAGAGTCAATAGTTGCACTTAATACAAAGTCTCAAGCCAAAAAAAGAAACCAAAGATAGGTAAATTACAATTTGTTTTTCGCATGCACACCTGCATAACATCTGTCATATTAGTGTTTGCTAAACTATGATTCATGTTTTTTACTATAGTGCTGAAAATGTTCGCCCACCAAAAAAATGAATGACCGTAGTCTCCGTTATCAGCTGCTACAAAGTTGCTTTCCATTTTTTTTTTTTTTTTTTTTTTTTTTTTTTGCCCTTAAACATGTGTGGTTGAAAACTTACTTGCTGAAACAACAACAGAACAATTTTTTGGGTTTTTTTTTAACTACTTAAACAGGTGCCTTGCCTGCAGGACATGTATTTTGCCACCTTAACTGCAGGGGCAAAATATGTATGGATTGCATCTTCCTTCTGTAACTTATGGAAACAGGCATCCTGCATCTTTATTGCTTTGAACATTAGTGCTTGAAAGATTAGCTGTTGAAACAAGAACAACCCACTTTTTTATCTTTTTTGTTTAGCTGTTAAAACACGTGCCTAGCCTGCATAACATATATTTTGTCATCTTAACTTTAAGGGCAATATATGTGTTATATACATGTTGCTCCTGTTTCTCTAGGAAATAGAGCATGTCTTTTAGTTGTATCTTTTGTAATCCGCTTGGTTGAATGTATGTAAAAGCCAAACTACTTATCTTACCGACGGCGTTCACTCACCTATCATTTTTGTTCGTACATGATTTTGTTGAATTTTTTTTTCAAGTTAAATATGTTAAATTCATGTGGTTAAGATCGGTGCATTCAAGTTCCGCAACAACGCGTGGGCATTTTTCTAGTAAAGACTATTTCTTCGGACACAAAATTATGGTAAAATTTCGAACTCTTGTTACCCGCAACGGTGGAAAACCCACCTTTCAAAACTACAGATGCTCAGTATTGACAAGGGAATGCACAAAGTCCAGTAAGTAAATCTGTACCCCACCAATTTACAGACACCATTTTCCGCTCCGGCAAAGAAGAGAAGCGAGAAAGGCACAGATGAAATCGAATGAGCCTTCACCTATGCAATTTTTTCTATTTTTGTTTTTCTTTAAACAAAAATGAAAGTCCAAAGAAAACAAAACGAAAGGAGAAGATTTTTCTTTTTCCCTCCGTAAAAGAGCAGTTCCCAACAACTCCCATCTGCAAAATCTCACTTTGTCCTCCTCAACCCCAATATTTTGCATCTATTGAGTATTTGGTGATATAAAATATCAGCCTATTAGTTGTATGCTTATGCTGTGAGAGAATAGAAAACCCTAATGGACCCATGCAACAGTCAGCACCAAAGCTTTTCCCTACTGCTTGCAGAATATCACTAGCCGAAAAACCGAAATTGCAATATCACCTGTTTAGAGAGAATACTGCTTGTGTATAATGTTTCATAGGTACTTTCCTGATGACTTCCAGATTCTTCCTTCAAGCGATATAACCATAACCGTGACATCGTCATGATACTTCCTGCGAGCTCCTTGCGGGATGTCCAGTAATTCATGGAAATCCATTCCTGCAAAACAAAACAGTTCACGTTCAAAGCTTGAAAACTCTAGAAAATTGTGTATATGTCCAAACTAGGCAGACAAATATCGGATAACGAGGAACTAAATGCAGACCATTTTCAGTCCATTAGGGCACAAAATTTCTATTCCAGGTTTAATTTACTACATAACCCACCAGGTCAGATATTGGATGATGCCAGCAAAAACATACTATCATTTTCATTTCAAGCGTTCAGTAAAGTCTGCTTTCGGCAGGCCAAAAACCTAAAACCTTAGATAGGTAAACTTTAAAGCACCCTCAATGAACTCCTTCCTCCACCAAAAACTGATGCTTCAGCTGTATACACACTTGATGCTGATGCTTCAGCCATACACACTCGATGAAAAGCACTGGAAAAGGACTAACAACTACTGAAATCTACACTTAAAAATGCACCAAATATGGATGTATTACCTATATGCATATATCAGCAAGCGCTACTTAAATCTACACCCAAAATGAACCAAGATCCCATCAACACTAATCTTTTGGAACAGTAAATAGCATTGTAAACAGCAGTCCATCAATGAAACCGTAAATAATTCAGTTCAAACTTCACCAAACTTATCCCAGAAGTCTTACTCCTACAAATGAGAACTATATATTTATTTTCTTCTAATGAAAATGAATGTAACTTTCTGTTAAGGGAAAAGAATTGCATGTCTTATTCTATTAACCTCCGGAAGGGGAGGAAGAATCACTCCTTGCTCCCGCACTCCTAGGCAGGAGTGCAAATAATGCAGTCATTGTGGCAGTGTCATTAGCATTCTTGTAGAGTTGTACATAGATCCTTACGGAAAGCATATAATATTGCCTTCCGCAACCCCAACCATGAAATACCTTAACTAATTAAATGAATCCATGTATAGGAAATAGGTTGTCACAGCACAAAGTATAACGGCTAGCTAAATCTGATGCCTACAGGGGTGTAAATGAGCTGAGCCAAGTACAAAGGTGCTCAAGCTCGACTTAGTGCTCAACTGATATTATCACGTAAACATATGCACAAGCTTGGCTTGAATGATTTTTTCAAGTTCGCTCTGTTCGTCTGTAAAGTGAACTCGATCTTTTGCTTGGTTTGACTTACCGAAAATTGGAAATTAATATAAATAAATAAACATAATTACAAAACCGTGGATATTATTTTTGAAGGATTACTTGCCCTAATAAACGGCAAATAATAAGCTAAAGACTTTTGAAGTGACTGCATGTCCAAGACCAAAAAAAAAAAATACAAGATACGAGCTTATGAGCCGAAAATAGCAAAAGCTCAAGCTAGACTCATTTTTCTAACGAGCCTACTATTTTGCTCAAGCTCAGCTCATTTCACTTACAAACCGAGCTTGAGCGAGCCAAAACAGACCGAACATGAGTCGAACTCAAACCGTTCAAACCGGTTTACAACCCTAACGCATACTATATTTTAAAGAAATTGCTTTAAGGCAAAATTACATTTCATTCAGAGAACTTACACATGCGAAAGAATTGCAGTAGTTTTTGTAACATCAATAGTTTCACAGTAATTATCTGATAAAATTCATATGTTTTCATACGGAAAATTTGGTAAAACGTCAGTGAGATTTTAGTTTGGGTACTGAAATTTCCATGCAGCTCTAAAGTTCAAGCAGAAGTTGAAGATGAACAAGTAGAACAAAGAAGAAGGCCTCCTTCTCTGTGTTGAAAACTTTATTCAATCATAATCTGTTGAAAATTTGACTCTGGATTCGGCTCTAGAACCCAAATTAGATTGAATGTTTGGGCAAAGATGGGATTTGGTTAATAATGTCTTTGGGGTTTGTTACAATTACTAGTTTAGGCCACGTTACAAATGTAGGCCTTATCACATAAAATTTCCCACGTTTAAAGGTAGGCTTTGCTCTTTCTTTGTTTCCTAGATAATTCAGTAAACCTGGACTACCGAAATATCTACAACTGCCGATAATTTCATCCTTGAATTAGGCAAGGCTAAAAACCTATGAAGCCAGTGCAGTTCTTTTGTAAATTATCTAATTAATTTAATACGTAACTATTTCCAATCCTAAAGAGTAGTGCCTGCATCCAACATTCTAACACCTTCCTACTAAGTCTTGCATTATTCTTGCCATGAACAATTCAAACTAAGAGGAAAAAGAACACCAAAAGTATGTATATACAATTTGCACAATATAAGAGGCAATAGAACTGGAGAAAATTACCAGCTTTCTTTGCAGCACGGAAAAGAAGCTCCTCTATCAGGTGTTGTGCAGGGTCTCCATCTGGAAACTTCTCCATAAAATTCTCAACATGTGAAACTACTTCCTGATTGCTAAAATACTGATACAAACCGTCTGATGACAGGATTAAGAACTGATCACTAGGGCAGAGTCTATGGTGCCGAAGAGAAGGCAAACATGATATGTATGGTGCGGTACCAATGTACTCATTTCGAAACATTTCCAATAACGTGTCGTTCCACTTGGGCTGCACAACAAAAGAAAATCACATTATTACCTATTGAACAAACTGGATTGTGCATCCAAATGTACTTGTACATGATGAGCTTCATGCAGCAGGAAAAACACAAAATCATAAGTAACTTTAACAAATTTTCCTGAAGATTCTGGTTTTGATTGATTACAGCGAAAAAAAAAATTGAAATATACAGAAATATATTATACTTACAGTGGTAATAAACTTATGTACATGATTTCTTGTTAAAAGAGAAAATATGTACAAATTGGAGTTGACCGTTACACAACTTGGGACACTTGAAACTCTATGTCAATAATTAGGGGACATGGTTAGGTCATTCCTTTATTATACAAGTAATGTCATGCCGTAACTTTCCAATAGATGTGTAATAATCATGCACAGCTATGGATGTTTAGAAAAGATGGCCTCATCCTAATAAGAAAATATGCTCATTGGCACTTGCAAGATTAAAGCTAACAATTTTACTTCAGATTCTCAAATACTATATGAATAAGTATCTCCAGGCCAAACCATGCAAAAATTGAACTTTAACAGGATAGTTAACAATACTGTACTTAAACCTGTTTCAGAAATCCAGCCCCAAACGCTCTGGTAACTTTAAGACGACCTTTCACTCTATCATTGACAATACAATGTTTGTCATCTGGGTGTTCATTTTTTATTCTTGTTACTTCCTGCACAACAAAAAAAATAAACTGTTGAAAAACTAAAAACAAAAGAGTCTGAGCTTAAGATGCATAAAACAATATGACTCAGAAACTAACCGAGGAAAACGACTCAGAAACTAACCAAGGCAAATGCCAATAATAGTTACCAGAGGATGGTACGGATGGGAAAGAGAAGGAATAGTACAAAGAAGAACAACCAAATATCATCACCAATAAGAAGAAAAAAACGAGTGTCCAAGTGCACTATTATTGTGAGAAGTAACTGTCTGGAATGGAGGTGAAAAGATCCAGCAGGGCATTGACAGAAAACACTTCACAATTATCAGCACACACACATCAGCCGCACATCCACAAGGTGATATTAAACATTGAAGAACCGGCACAAGAAAGAGATACATTCACGGAAGCTTCCACATATTGTCCCCCTCCATTAAAGGAATTGAACATGAAGGCAAATGAAAAGACAACCTATAAAGACGGGACAAGGAAAAGGAAGCTTCTTCCACTCTTTAAGCCTTTTGTCCCCCGTCCACAGAATGGACAGATTGATTAGGGCAATTTTACAAAATCAGGTTCAACCAATGGATGATTCAACTGTAGTAGGCTTATTGAAACAGTTGAAACATGATTTGATAATTGCAATTCCTAGATGGTTTTTCTTTAGAGTCTAGACCACATCATAAATAATGACAAAAAACAAATTTTAGAATGCACCTCCATTATAATTAACTTCATTTAATAAATATTTTCAAAATATAATTCTTTCAAAGAATTACTGATGATATTTTAAATACTGATTAGATTTCTTATAAATTAATTCCTCGAGTTGCCACTACATTTTCCCAACACTTAAAGAAACACCAGAAGCTTAAGAAAGAACAAGAACATCAAAGCCGTGTGGCATTTTTTAAAAATAAAAACTTGAATACATATTTAGCTAAGTATTACACAATCTAAGGGGAACAAAAATATAAAGTAAAAAAATTTGATATCTAGCTCTAGCTGTCAGAAGACTACAACCGGTATGAAGTGTGCTTCAACTAGTAAAGATTTCTCTCACCAACTTTTCATACAGAATCAGAGAAATTCAAGATGTATCACCACGAGATTAAATTGTGAAGCATGCTGCTTCAAAAATGTTAACGACAGCAACTCAAGAACCAAGAGACCACGGAAAACAACCAAGTAATTGAGCGTTTGCATATCAAAATGTTTTTGATATTGATGCGGGATTGATTAGAAAAATTAATACTTAAACACACCACATACATCCAGGAAAATACTCACAACCAAGTAGGAATTCACTCATAACAGTTCAAACAATATGAGAACTAAAGCTACAGCTACATACATGAGAAGCAGAGAACTTACTTCTTCAATGCTCGTGCTGTGATCAGTGGACAGCTGCAATGCAGTCAATCGCACTGCTTGAGTAGCCACCTTGCTGGCCACAGCTGAGGATGACTCAGTTATATCCTCAGCGTTCAATCCATTGTCCTTGTGCCCTGTCAAAGCACTGCTTGAATCACCTTCCTCCGACTCATAATGGGCAACAATGGCCCGACTATCCCCCAAATTCATTACATACACATCCTCATCCCTCATTAGCACAACCAACAAACACGACCCCATCAATGCAAGTTCTGGATTCGTATCATGAACCTTATCGGTCATCTCTAAATATGCTTCCTCCGTCACATGTAAAGCCCTTGACAATGCACTCAACACCAACTCGTGATCTACCGGCCCCTCCTTCATCTTCCTACCAGTTGGAGCAGACCTCTCCTCCACTCTGTTCTCAACCTCAACCTTTTCTTTATCCTCCAAACCAAACCTCCATGGAAACAATTTCCTACCATGACCCTGACCTTCCTTGTGCTTAGTCAAGCCTTGTTTCAATTTCGACAGCAAAAGCCATCGCCTACTCACTGCAGAACCCGAACCCTCATTGCTCACTGTAACTGCGTCATCAACAGAAAATGCAAACCTCTCGGAACCCGAAAGGTCAAGCCCCTCTTCAGCCTCAGCCTCAGCCAGCAATTCCCAAAGCCGCCGCCTCCTGACACCCTCAGATTGAAACGTCACTCTCTTTTCCCGATCAGCTTCGGGCAAGGGGTCAGAATCTGAAGTCGATTCATTTTTGGTTTGGACCTCTACAACTACTTCACTCTCTGAAGCTACATTTGGTGGTGGGTCACTGTTATCGGCTTCTTCGGCTTCCGGAGCTTGATCATCGCCATCAACCTCCCAAAATAAACCCTGAAGCTCATTGTAAAATGCACGGTAGAGATTACCCATCAGAAATTCGGGAGCATCGGGGCCATTAAACCCATCGTAAATCCCAACAAACAGCCACCCCTGCTCTTCCGATACAACCACATGTACACGATCCTCCCCAGCTTTGCCAAGAGCCCACTGGACATTGCTCTCGCTCTTGGGCTCAGGCTCCACCCCGATCGACGGTGGGCTGTCCTTCCGGCCGACGAAATTGAGCACCGGAACAACCCAGGGCCGCTGCTTCTTCTCCGAGAAATTCCGATACAACGCCTTCCCAATCCCCGAAATGCCCTTCTTCCGCCTCTTCACGTAAAACCCACCGAGCGGCGCCGAGAAGTGATCCCGCCCGTCGGGCCCGGCTGGGTTGGCGTTCGGGTCGAGGGGACCCGAGAGGGCGCCGCTCCCTAATGGGCCAGAGAGGAAGAAGCCCGGCCGCTCCATTGGACCTGAGGGATCTCGCTCGCCGCCACGTGGCACGGGCTGAAGAGGCAAGGCGCTAAACGACGACGTACTCTCAAAACCATTGACTAGACTCCCCCTGACGCCACCGCCGCAGCCGCCGAGAACACTCTCAGTGGCATCGTCGTAAATATTGTCAAGCTGGAGGACAGTTCTGGGAGTAGCGCTATTGGCACTGACGGAAGCCCCGGAGATGGCTTTGAACCCGGTTTCGTGAAATCCGGGTCGGGTTCTGGCACCGGATTCGTGAGGAGGCGAGAACCGGAGGGAGTTGGAAGGGGAAATGAAGCGATCCGACTGAGTAGGAGAGAGGAAGCGAGCTGAGTTGCGGACGTAGCAGAAAGAGTGGCCTAGGGTTTCGTCCAGGGGCTCGGAGGCCGCGAACACAACGTCGTTGTGGTCCGGCTGGTGGTGGTTGGTCCGGTGAACCGGCCGGAAGCACTCGGAAAGGGTGGAGACTCCACTCCCCATCACATTTGAGTCGCGTCCCGCTGTTTGGCTACCGAGAAAATTGTCCCCTACACGATTTTCCGGCGAAGCTCAACAACCCAAATAACACCATTAGAAAAAACGAAAAATAAACAAAAAAAGAAAGAAGCAGAGAGAGAAGAGAGAGAAAGGGCGAGAAAGTAAACAGAGAGAGAAGGAGAGATGCAGTGATTTTATATTAGTAGTTGGGTAGACTGGCTGACCTCGTTTTTGTAGAGAGAGAAAGTCGTCACTTTCTCTCTCTAAACCCAATTTGTGATTTTTTTTGAATTTAAATCTTCTGTTGTTGGCTCTTGGTTGACGGCTAAACCTGGTTTGGAGTACCTGCCACGTCGGAAGACACGTGGAACTACGGTGGTTTCCCGATTGGCGATTGGGACGTAGTTCTCGGTCGGACTATTTGTCCCTCCCTCCGGATTGGCGTTAGCGAAGGAAAGGAGGGAGGACACAAAGCGGTGGTGGGAGTGGGACTGTTCAGCGTTCAATCACTCACTCTCTGCAGGGGTCAATGTTGATGAAAACCGAGGTCGGATTGAAAAGGTTTGTCTTATAGGGGTGCTTTTGTCCTTTTCGCTGTTTGGATTATCGGACACCCTGTGACTTTAGACCCCGAGCCCAAGGCCCAATCTGGGTTGACCACAGCCTTTCTGTTTTATCTCAAAGGACCATTATGCCCCTGGCAGTATCCTCATCATGTTGTTGTGGAATATTCAAAACACAGACGAGCAATATATATGTTATGTTGTTGTGGAATTCGGATGCATTAACTATTTAATGATGTGACAAACATTTCAGTTTCACAAATATGCATGTATGCTTTAGGAAATATTTTTGCCCACCGCGTTCAAGTATTGGTCAAGCTCATATCATGAGTTGCCTACCGAATCAGTGTAATTTGAAGGGGATGCAACGATGGTTCTTGTTGCATTAAAATTTAAATAGTAGACGGCGCTTCTTCGTTGGGACATGTGGTGAATGATGCTCGCCATTTATGCGTTCAATTTCTCAAATAAAACTCACTCATACCTGACGAGAAGCAAACAAGGTTGCTCACAGACTAGCACGACTCAATCTAACTTTAGATCGACGAATAAGTTGGTTTGATGAACCCCTTGATGTAAATCTTCTCTTGGAAGATGGTATCACTTTGTAATTTGTTAGTGCAGAAAGCTCTTTTTTCCTTCAACCGGGTTAAAATTTCTGGCAAGATTTTTATCGAGACTCATTTAAATGCACCCTATCCTCTCATATATTAGTAATTTTTTCATCGTATGAATGAATATCGTACTTGCTCTAAAAAAACAACACTTATGCTTTGGAATTAATTGATTAGAACATAGTCGTATCTATCTACAATTTATCTTGTAGTCAATGGTCAATGTGCATGATTTTTATGGTAACCTACTTCAATCAAATCTAATTCAACTTTCTTGTAATTTCAAACATATTCATTCACCTGTTTTGATTTTAATTGTTCTTAAAATTTTAAGATGGATCAATATACATCATCAATGAGCTCCTCCTTCAATGTACAGAAGACTTATCTCATAGTTTTCTCTAGATTCTTAACCCTACTCACAATTTGTGGAGTGCGAAGGTTGCTAGGAAACAAAATTATGCTTCATTAATAAAGGATAAGTGGAGATCTTAGATTCTTATCTTGTGAATTAACCATATTTGCTGACATACAAGCTAAGGGTTTACTCTCGATTAGATCCCCATGCTTTTTAGCTCTCAAATGACCAAATTTTAAGGTAATGAAAAATACTCATATCTTGGCTGAAAATTTTAAATGAAAATGTAAATTTACATCTTTAGGTTATGGGCCCCACTAGGTGGTATGTATATAATATCTTGAATTAAAAGTTCAACATGAGTTGATATAAAATCTTTCATAAACCTATTTTATTGTCTTTTCGTAAGAATTTTCAACAATATGTTAAGGAGAAGGTTTCATCTTCCCCAACATAGATTCGAAACAACAAAGAAGACACATATGACAGTTAGAAGGAAGATCACGATCATATGAGTAGCCATACACCCAACAATAGTTATGTATGTGCCTGAATTGAAACGAGTAACAAAAAAAAAAAAAAAAATGACACATCAATAGGCAATGTCGTTGCAATAACAAAACGTAATACATGGGTAAAGGTCAAACAAATATAAAATTGATCTTTTAGTTGTGATGTTTCACAACATTTTTTTAAATTCGCATGGTACTTGTTTTATTACTATTGTTCATTCTACAGACAGAATGTTTTACTAGTCAAAGCAACAAAGTCAAAAGTCAAAATTTAGATTCATCAAACTATAGTAAATAGGGATGGTGAGCATTACCACTACTAGACAATGGTGAGAAAAAATGCACCTCATGTTTTATGTACAGTGCAAACATCACAATGGAGGTAGCACATTCTGTGGTGTTGTTGGAACAAGAGTTGTCTGCATAATCGTTGGAATTTGAATGGGGTGCAATGATGGTTCTTGCTGCATTAAAACTTAATACAGCTGATGACACTTCTTCGTTGAGACATGTGATGAATGATGCTCGCCATTTTATGTGTTCAATTTCCCAACCAAAACTCACTTATACCTGGTGAGAGACAAACAAGGTTGCTCAAAGATTGGCCCGACAGGGTCTAACTTTAGATCAATGAATAATTTGGTTTGAGGAACCTCTTAATGTAATCATAGATCTTCTTTTGGAGAATAGTACAACTTTGTAATTTGTTAGTGTAAGACGCTCTTTTTTCCTTCGACTGGTTAAAATACCCAACAAAATTTTTATCGAGACCCATTTAAATGCAACCTATCCTCCCATATGTACATAATTTTTTCGTTATATCAATGAATATCGTACTTGCTCCTAAAAAACAACACTTATACTTTGGAATTAATTAATTTAAACATGGTCGTATTTATCTTATATTTATCTTGTAGTCAAGGGTCAATGTGCATGATTGTAATGGTAACCTACTTCAATCAAGTCTTATTCAACTTTCTTGTAATTTCAAACATATTCATTCATCTATTTTGATTTTAATTTTCATTAAAATTAAAATATAAAAGTGTAAGTACTTTTTTTTTCTTGAGTTGGACCAATATACCTTATCAATGAGTCCTCAGTCAATGCACAGAAGAGTTATATCATAATTTTCTCTAAATTCTTAGCCCTACTCAATATTCGTGGAGTGCGACGTTTGTTAGGAAACAAATTACGCTTCAGTGATAATGAATTAGTGAAAGATCTTAGGTTCTTATCTCGTGAATTAGTCATACTTGTTCACCGATAAGCTAATGGTTTACTCCAAATTAGATCCCCATACTTTCTTGCATGAGTCTCTATGAGCATCTTTACTAGAAGATGCAAAATGTCTTGGAATGAGTTTTTCACGAGATAAGAACCTAAGATTTGTGGGATGTTTCATGAAGCATCAAAGCAAATATATCGAAATTTTATTCTCATATGAAGCATCCCACAATTTTTTAAGTCCTGGAGAAGTTCAATTCTCTATTTAAGAGAGAAAAGAAGGAGGTTGGACAGAAGTCACAATAATACAATGATAAAATACTCGATTAGCCCTAGCTTGAATCACATCTATTTTGCCATAGAATCCATAAGCATAAGTGGTGTTCACGAAAATATTATGGCATGGTCTTCCCAACACCACAAGATTTTCTAAAATCTTACGTGAGGTATCAAATACAAGATTTTCTAAGTTTGGTATTTATTTGGTATGATAAAAACAACTTACAAGATGTACTTAATTATTTGAATCTTAAGGATCACATAACTATTGACCAAGTTATTACAATAATTTCGAAAATCGTGAATCTTTTGCACATCGTGGTCGCGACTACCATAAACGTTTGCATATCATTGTGTGAAAAAGATAAGACAAGCTGGAAAAAAGAAAATGACTAGCATTGGTTGTTCAGCAATAAATAGACCAACATATTTTTCGAGTATTATTACTTCTTTTGTATCGTAAGAAAAGGTAACATAAGAGATGAAATTTGTTAAGAAGCGAATAATTGTTGAAGTACAAAAATTATGTAAGGGAGTACCCCTTTTTGATAAAAAATGATGCATCAATAAGTAGTGTCGTTGCAATAACATAAAGTAATACATGGGTAAGGGGCGAATAAACATAAAATTAATCTATTAGTTGTGATGTTTCACGAACGTTTCTAAATTGGCGTAGTAGTTGTGTTATTACTATTGTTCATTCCACAAACATGAAATAAATGCTCTACAAGTCAAAGCAACATAGTGAAGTCATATTAAGGTATCAAAGCAAATATATCGAAATTTTATTTTAACTCATTAAACATCCTATTATTTTTTTAGTCCTAGAGAAGTTCAATAATCTGTTTAAGAGAGGGAGGAAGGTGGCGGAAAGGAAGTCACAATAATATAATGATTAAATACTTGGTCAGTTATGGCCTGAATCACATCTCTTTTAATTGGGATCCCAAATTTATATCTCACCCATTGAAATTAGGTGACATTTCTTTTTTTCAAGTTTTCAACATATTGTATTATGACACTTGTGTTTTGGCCCATATTTCTGGCACATTGAAAATTTTTCCCTCCCAATGGCGATAGTAGATTGAACTTAAGGCTTGTACGTAATTTTGATTTTCAATTTTAATATTTTGTTACATGTACACTACGAAATTATGACAATTTAGTTCCCGCCGTTAGATTTACTACAAAAAAATTCATTAAATGATGACATGTCATGTGCGAACTGCGAAGCCTAGGTTTTTTTACCTTACATGGCATAAAATTTAAAAATGAATTCAAATTTTCATTGCAAAATAGGAATTATATTAAAAGGGTTGTTTTATTTTGCACTCTACGTATTGTTAAATACACCTCATATGCTGAATGCACCACACATTTACTCTTTTAATTAAAATTTATCTTAAGACACGCCACTTACTTTCCAATACTACCTTTACTTGCCATACTTCATCTTTTTTAAAAAACAATAATATCTACACTATGGGGGTGGGGAACTAGCTAAGCCTCACAATGAACTAACCACAATAATATGGTTCAAATATGCATTTGACGAGAATTGAATCTAAAATCTTTCACTTACAAGTGAAGAAAAATACCACAGCATCACTAGATCATAATACTAAATGACTATAACCCATATACTTATAAACACACCTTTTGCAGTAAGCTCCTCAATTCTGCCTCAGTTGATCAACCGAAGTAGCATCATCTATTTTTACCAAAAAAAAAAAGAAAAAAGCAGCATCATCTACTTCCCCTTGATACCAATGTCCATTTTTTAATAACAATTGGAAAGGAATCATATGGGAGGAGTAAAAATGTATAAAACTTCACAAGCATGAAGATGAATACATCTGCTGCGTTTAGTGATTCAATTAAGAGTATTGAGTCTACTAGAAATTGCAATAAAATCGCAGGCAATAAACATTTTTATTTGAATACACGTTGAAAATTATTTAGTGTGTATTTAAAATATATATTTT